CCCACCAGCGGTGGGCCCCACCTCTCCTCGCAGCCCGGTGAGCGGGTGCCCGGGTGGGCACCCCGGCTGAGCGCCGGCCAGCCCCTGGGGACTCGGTCCCCCTTTTTTAACACCGAGGGGTGAGCGGGGCGGGAGCCGGGAGAACAAAGAGCAGCAATCTATGGAAAGACAAAAGGATTTGCCCTGGCTCAGTGAAGCAAGCGAAAGCAGATAAAAGGGGCTCTCTTTGGAAGCAGCAGCAGCTCTGGTTGGTATGTGGGAATCTCGAGCGGCCGGCTCCGGCCCAGCCAGCCTTCATGAATTATTAGGCTGCGTTTCTCCCCAGAGCCCACACTCGCTCGGGGCTTTTTCTTCCCCTCTTTGGAGTGCTGGGATGGGTTACTGGCTTTTTTGTGTGTCCTTTTCTGTCTTAAAAAAGAAGCGGAGCAAGGCTGGCCCCCAGCACCCCGGGCTGGGATGGAACGAGCAGAGCATCCACAGGCAGTGGAAAAGCTCCTTTTCCCGGGTACCTAAGTCCCACGGGGTCCTGCTGGACCTCCAAGGACCTGATCCACACCCAGCTCCCAGCACTGTCCTGAGCCCCAGAACCTCCAGCGCGGGGGGAGATGGCAGGAAGGGCTGGAGGGGATGCCGGGAGCCCTTGCCTGCCTGCTCCCCTCTATCAAGACGTTAGCCCGCGGGCAGTAATCGGCCTGACTGCTCGCACAAAGCGGGGCCGGGTGCTGGGGCTGGCTCCCCCCCGCTTTGTCCCAGCCTAACAGGATCAGGCACGCTACTTGACTCGGGGCATGGCCCGCTGCGCCGCGGAGGGCACGGGGGATGTCGCAGGCGGCCCCGGGAGGGGGTAGGGATGTGCTAGGGACTGATCCTGCCCCTCTGCGTCCTCCCGCCCCGCCTGCAAGGGCACCCACGGGGCGGTGGGGTGCCTGCAGGCAAGTGTGGGTGCCAACCCTGCCGCACGGTGCAGTCCCGTGTGTGGGATGGGACCATGGTGATGGTGCCACTTGTGGGTTTCGGCATCCCACGTCAACCCAGTCCTGCTCTCTCCCCAGGGGCCGCCCAGACATCCAGTGGAGCAACCTGGACCCTCTGCAGCTGATGGAGGAACTGGGGCAGTTTACATCCCTGGAAGGCTTCAAAGAGCTGCTGGACAAGGCAGAGGTGGGGCAGGCTTACATGGAGCGGCCCTGCCTGGATCCCCGGGACCCCCAGTGCCCCCCCAGTGCTCCCAATAAGCAGAGCCAGCAGGTGGGTCACCGCCCATGGGGACCAGGAGGCATGTGGGGGCTTGCTGCTCTCCCACCCGCCCTACGGTCCCACATCCCTGACACCTGCCCCTCTCTACCTGCAGAGCCCCGACCTCCCAGCCGGGGGTCCTGCCACGGCTTCTCCAGGAAGTTCATGCGCTGGCAGGAAGAGCTGATTTTAGGTGGCACGACCAAAGACTCCAAGGGCAAGCTGCTACGGTGAGAAATGCTGCAGTGCAGGCGTCCCCAGGCACAGCACAGGGGCCCAGCTGCAGCACTCACCCCTGGGATGAGTAGGGGCAGGGTCCCCTCATCCTTATGCGGTGCCCACGGGAACCCACCCTGGGGGGGCGGGATTCCTGGGTCCTCTCCTAGGTGTCCATGGTGGGACTGGGGGCTGTGGGGTGGGGGATGGACCCATTCCTGCATCCCGGGGCACTGCAGCCGGTCCCAGCAAGGTGCGTGCCTGTCCCCCAGCGCCGAGGCCCTGCAGACCATGTTCCTCCTCATGAGCCCCCGGCAGCTCTTTGAACACTTCAAGGATGACTACGAGATCCACGACATCAGCTGGAGCGAGGAGAAGGCAGGCGCCATCCTGGAGGCCTGGCAGAGGAAATTCGTGGAGGTGGGCACCGGGAACAGCCTTCCGTGTGGGGCTGGGCGAGGGTGAGCCTGTGCATGGCATCCGCCTGTGCCCGGGTGTTCACATAGCCACGGGTCTTGGCACTGCTCTCGTGTGGTCTGGTGCATCGCTAGTCACCCTCCGTGCCGATGGTGACACCCTGGGTGGCTCTGGGGGGGACGTACTGGGGAGCGAGGGGGTCCTGACTCCTCTAACGGGGTGCGCCTCTGGCAGCTGGCACAGGACTCCATCCCGCCCAACGCCACGCAGAGCGTCCATGCTTTCTCCACCACCACGCTCAACGACATCATGAAGTCCTTCTCCGACGTCAGCGTCATCCGGGTGGCTGGGGGCTACCTCCTCATGGTGCGTGTGTCCCCTCTCGGAGTCCCCCACCCTCCCTCGCTCGCTCCCCTGTCCCTGCTAACCCACTGTGCTCTTCCAGCTGGCCTACGCCTGTGTCACCATGCTGCGGTGGGACTGCTCCAAGTCCCAAGGGGCCGTAGGCCTGGCCGGGGTCCTGCTTGTGGCTCTCTCCGTGGCCTCTGGCCTGGGGCTTTGTTCACTGCTGGGCATCTCCTTCAATGCAGCTACCACCCAGGTATGTGCTGGGGAAGAGCCGGGTGCCATGAGGGTGGTGGGACCCTGGGGGCTGTGGAGTGGCCAGGTCACCTCCTGGGCAGCGGCTGTGTCCCCTCGCTGATGCCAGCTGCTCTCTGGCAGGTCCTGCCCTTCCTGGCCCTTGGCATCGGTGTGGATGACATGTTCCTCTTGGCTCACGCCTTCACCGAGACCAGCCAGCACATCCCCTTCAAGGTGAGCACTGAGCCCTGCCCGGGGGCTCCCCGGTCCCCTCCTGCATCCCCACGGCCCCTCTCGTCACCCCCTCTGTCTGTCCCTGCAGGAGCGGACGGGCGAGTGCCTGAAGCGCACGGGGACCAGCGTGGCTCTCACCTCTGTCAGCAACATGATCGCCTTCTTCATGGCAGCCCTGGTACCCATCCCTGCCCTGCGTGCCTTCTCCCTCCAGGTAGGGCCAGGGTCCCTCTATGGGGTGGCGGGGGCAGGAAGGGATGGCCAGACCCCACTCTGACATGTCCCCCCCGCCCACAGGCTGCGGTGGTTGTGGTGTTCAACTTCGCCATGGTGCTATTCGTCTTCCCTGCCATCCTGAGCCTGGACCTGCACCGCCGGGAGAAACGCCGGCTCGACATCCTCTGCTGCTTCTACAGGTACCAGTGCCAGGCTGGCCAGGCTGGGGCTGACCGTGTGGCTTCCCTCCAGAAGCACGGGGTGACTCTGCTCCTCTCCCTCACCGTCTTCTCCTCCTTCCCTCTCTCCTCCTTTCCTCTCTCCCCTCAGCCCTTGCTCCTCACGCGTCATCCAGATCCAACCACAGGAGCTTGCTGATGCCAACGACAACCACGCCTGCCACCCATCCCCTTACGGGCACCCTGGCATGGCCACCAGCACCCAGATCACCACCACCGTGCAAGCCTTCACCCGGTGTGACCCCTCAGGCCACCACGTTGTCACCGTCCTGCCGCCCACCTCCCAAGTGTGCACCTCGCCTGCCATCCTCCTGCCCCCCACCGACCCCCTGGGCTCACAGGTCTTTGCCCCGTCCAGCTCCACCCGGGACCTGCTGGCCCAGCTGGACGAGGCCAAGGGCGGGCGGGAGTGTGTCCCCCTGCCCTTCTGCCGCTGGAGCCTCGCTGACTTTGCCCGGGTGCCCCCCGGGGCGGGTGGGTGGCGTGGGACCCTGCCTGACACCCCCCGCTGTCCCCGCAGGCGGTGGTGGCAGTGCTGTTCGTGGCACTGCTGGGGCTGAGCCTCTACGGCACCACCATGGTGCATGACGGGCTCTACCTGACGGACATCGTGCCGCGGGACACCAAGGCGCACGCCTTCATCTCGGCCCAGTTCAAGTACTTCTCCTTCTACAACATGTTCATCATCACCAAGGGCGGCTTCCACTACCCGGGTGCCCAGGCTGCCCTGCTCAGCCTGCACCAGGCCTTCAGCACCGTCAAGTACGTGGTGCGGGAGGGCAACCGTGACCTGCCCAAGATGTGGCTCCACTACTTTCAGGACTGGCTGCGAGGTGAGGGACATCCCCCTTCATCATGACCTCTTGTGCCCAAGGACCCTCTCCCTCTTGCCTGGGAATGCCTTCCCTGCTGGAGGGTGGGCCCATAGTGTCCCCAAGACTCCCAGCAATGCAGAGCTGAGCCCTGGGGTTCCTGTGTGCCCATCCCGCTGGCACCACACTCCCTGGGGCACACGGGATGCCATGTGGGGTGCCTCATGGGATGCTCACCCCCCACGCTGTGTCCCCAGGGCTCCAGGCCACCTTTGACAGGGACTGGCAAGCTGGGCGCATCACCCACGACAGCTACCGCAATGGCTCCGAGGACGGGGCACTGGCGTACAAGCTCCTCATCCAGACCGGCAACAAGAAGGAGCCCTTCAACTTCAACCAGGTGTGTGGGGAGGGGGCTGGGGCAGCCGGGCTAGGGAGGACGCTGCGCC